AAGGGTTCCGCTAAGGGCGTCGATAGAGCGCTTGGGGTCGAAATGAGTAGATGACCACAAAAACTGCAAAATTCAACGCTGGGGGGTGAGAGTTCGAAATCGTTGGGGCCGGAGCGGAATTCTGATGAGTGTCAGTGATCGGCGACATTGAGGCGGCCTAGAGCGTGCACGTCAGCCTAACCAAGCTATTTTCATAAGAGAATTTGTCAAGAAGTGTATCGCATCCTGTTAGGGGCATGATTCATGAACCGAAGAATCAAAAAATTAGCATTTCTGATGAGGGCTTCTAGGGAGCGCTACTACACATAAAAGAAGGGAATGTGAGCGGAGACGGTAATTTAATGGCGGCGACTTAATTTTCCGGTGGCCCTTTCATAGTGTCATAGAGAAAGTTCTCCGGGAAAGATGGGGAAAATAAAAGATTAATTGAGTCATTATTCAGATAAAGGCTCGACCTTCTCTTAAAAGTATGTAGATTATCTGAAGATCTTATATTTATTGGCAAGTTATTCCAGAGGATAGTATACCTTCTACCAATGCCCTAACAACCTTAGTTATGAGACCCCATTAAGAACTGTGAGTTAAATCACATTCGGGCCATGTAAGCCGCCCAGCCTACTGCAAAGTAGGAAATCCACCAAGTATGATACAGTACACTGACCGCACAAACAGGATTTCCTCAGTAATCCATGTAGGATTTACCAGATGACTGCCAGGCTGACGTAGGTAATTGGTGTCTTGGCAGATTTTTATGTATTACTTAGGAAATCCTGCCTGGGCAGTCAGCTTACTATGACAGAATTTGTGGATTCCATACGTTGCATGAGGATAGACGGGTGACGAGCTCTAAATACGATTGCACCCATAGCTCTCATCAGGGCATCGTATCTCAGGGGACTAGGGCATTGACTGTACTCCAGCTTTCTCCATTTCTGGTCGCCGAGTTCTGCACAGTTAGGTCAAAATGAAACTGGTAACCCACAGAGTCTGGTGCTGGCACACTTACATAAGAAACTTGAACTCTCGGCAAACAGGTTCCTTCGGTTACCAACGCTCAATGGACTGGAATCCATAAAAAGATCGAGTTGAGGACTGTGGAACCAGGCTTTAGCGAGAAACTGGGAGTTCCAATTTATGCAGAGCTCCCCAATCCTGTCACGAAAATTGCGGCTTTTGTTGCATTTGAATCTTTCGTAGTGGGCTAAGTGGTGAGTATGAAAGCTGGTCTTTTCGGTTAAAAGAATGACTAATGTAAATGACGCCTATCAGTATCTCTTTTAAGCTACATGGTTGTTGCATAGTTGGCTGATAATTTCATGCACCAATATGTCTTCTGCGACATTATGTTCGGCTACGTCGCTTTTACGGCAAAGCAAGTAGTTCAAAATTATTCTATTTGTTGTCCCGTCCTAACCCTTTCACATCGGGTTTTTCTAGGGTGCTTCAATGTCTAACTTGCATCCACTATTCTCATGAAGTATTCAATCAGTATCCACCATCATTTGAACTTATTTTGCTTAATTTGCTTAATTATAAACATAAAGCTCTTAAGTCTTTCGCCTGAAGCATCGATGAGAAAAACATAAGCATTAACTACTTAGAAAGTCGTGTAGCGCATGATCCGTTTGAATAGATCACACAACAGTGTTCATTAGCCCATTTCTTCATGCTTGGTCTGGCTGTTTGTGTAACGTTCCCGTCGAACGCGAGTGCCCCAAAGTCGGCACTAAGACCTGATTTCCAAAGCGAGACCGATCTACCCCGTCTGCCTTCAACCTTTCAGGCCGACCACGACTTACGATGCCTTCCTTGCACTAATTTTTTCGCCCAAAATTGACCTGTTAAGGTGAGTAATTGGAATAATCGGAAGGTGTAACAGTTCCGTCTAACGCGAGTAGTAAACGAGGCCCAACAGGATAAGACGGACTAGTCACTATTTTACTGACAAACCTATGTACAAAAAGAAACTAAGGGAAGAGTCCTAATTACAAAAATAAACTGAATCTGGGGGGATTGTCCACAGGGGCGACTTGGAGCACTGGGATCCAGCGGAGAAGGCGACAGGGGTTCCTCGTCCGGAGAGCGGCGACCGGCCACGGGGTTGTCGGAGGTTAATCCTCGCCCCGAACGTGGTCGGCATTCTAGAACTTCCCGCATTGCTCCCCTTTGCGAACTGGGTCTGTTGTCCTCAGCAGAATCGTCTAGTGTGAACGGGTCCACCATCTGGGGGCACTTCGACAGTCTTCTCTACCGGGTGTCCATCGATGAATAACTCAGCCGAAGTGTAAACGCCCTCTGGGGGCACCTCTAAATACTGTTCAACTAGTTGGTCGTTGTATGCGTGGGACGGGCTCGCCCCTGAGTCGGCACGGTCTGTGTCCTCCTCTGCCAATGGACTTGGCTTTAAGCGATTGCAGTGTGCCGTAAACTCTTCCGAGTACGGTCTGTCCTGACTGCGAACGACGCAAGTCGTGTCGGAGAGGACCTTTCTAACCACGTATGGGCCTATCCATGCTGGGCTAAATTTTTGAGGTACAGCCGGCGACGGTGCGAAATTCCGCATCCACACTATGTCTCCCTATTGATATGGGGTCCCGTGTGCTAGGCGATCATAGAATGCTTTCTGACGGCGTTGACCTTCCTGGGCAGGGTTTACCGCATCCTCGAGGCGTACGTGTCGACGTTCTCAACCGAATGTGAAGGGGTAGGTGTAGATCCTCAGGGAATTGCATCTCTCTCCCGCACGTTAGGAAGAACGGCGTGTGTTGCATAGTGGCATTTACCATGGATCGGTAAGCCAACATACACGCTGGCAAGGCTTCGTCCCATGTTGGTGCTGCGTTCCGGTCGATAAAATCCCGCAACAGATTAATCAACGTCCGATTCGTCCTTTCCACCTGGCAGTTGTCTTGTGGGTGGTACGCGGTAGTGCGGGTTTTCTTAATTTTCAGAACCTTACACAACTCGTGTACGACGATGCTCTCGAACGACGAGCCTCGGTCTGAGTGGAGTTGGTCCGGGACTTCGCAGCGGCAGATCGACCCGTTGAAAATGGCCCGGGATACTGTGGGCGCAGACGCATCTGGTATCTGGTACTGCCTCAGTCATCTTGTTGAAACAGTCCACCATGACGAGAAGTAACCTATTTTCCCTCGCGGATGGCGCGATTAGGTCAACTAGGTCTACAGCTACCCTCTCGTTGGGGTAACCTGTCATGATTGGCTGTAGCGGGGCTCTGAAGGAGTCCCGGGGGACTTAAAGTCGAAACAGTGTCCACAAGACCGGACAACGTTCTGTATGTCGGTCTTCTGATTCGGCCAGTAGTACCGTCGACGAAGGGCCCACTCGGTCTTATGAATGCCGGAATGCCCTAGTTCCGCATGCATCCTTTCAACCATGTCATCCACCATCGAAAGCGGTAGGACGATGCGCTTTGGATATTGTTCATTGTCACGATAGAAGAGAACGCCATTGTCAATGAACAATTTGTTTCAGAGACTATGCAGGCATCGTGTCTCATAACTATGACCCGCTAGTTCAGCCTTATTGAGAGGCCTGGCGTTACTAACTTTCCTATCATATAAGGGACAAATATGCGGGTCATCTCGTTGGGCTGAGGCCCAGAGTAGACATTGATCGCTTTGCAAATCGATAGCGGAGATGGCGATGTCCGTGCATGACGGGCACTCCTCGTGGGGGTGATGCGGTTTCCTCGAAAGGGCATCGGCGTTACCATGCTGGCGACCGGGTCGAAACACGCACGCAAAGTCATATTCCGCCAAGTTCTCTTGCCAGCGAGCTACTTGCCCTTCAGGATTCTAAAAGTTTCTTAGCCAAGTCAAAGAGCCGTGGTCGGTACGTACTATGAATTGTCGGTACTGGAGATAGGGTCGACACTCCTCAACAAAATGCATAAGTGCGAGCGTCTCTTTGCGAAAGACACAATAGCGCAGCTCGGCTTTGGTAAGTGTGCGACTAAGGTACTGAATCACATGATATTTTAAAGATTGGGAAGAATAGGACTCCGTTGCCGGAGAGGGAGAGGTTGGGGGATAGATTGATCATCAGGGATTATATGACGCCCTCAGTGCTAACGGCATCGCTCGACCTTGGAGAAGTTATCAGTATTATATCTACCAGTCCACACTTTGGACGGAGTCGCTCGGTGTAGAGGGCCTACATCAAAAGAAGCGAATGGGATTACAGAGTTTTCGAGCATCGCTGACCCCATAGCATCTTGAGATATCCTCATGCCGACTTTGCTGTCATTCTCTAAACTTACCGGAGAGAAAAATCATTGCGGGAACTGACTAAAACTATTGGGGCAGAAAACTGCAAGGGCAATATCAGTCACTGCGGCGCCGTCGAGTAAGTCTAAGAAGGCTCTCAGCTGTCTTGCGAACTCAGGACTTCAATTATGGCAATTTCCTTGTCTTCTACTGCGACTAGTTACAAAGCCAGATTACATAACTGATTCTAGCCATGGCTGTACTGGCCTGTGATCTATGGCATCAAATCATCTTGTAGGGGAAATTTTGGACACGGAAGTGATGCTAATTTTCAAGTCGTGTGAATGACAGCATGATCTGACCCATGGTTGTCGCCAGTTTCGGCAGCACTCCTCGACTCGATATTTTGGCCCAGTTTAAAAATTCCGAACTGACTGGGATGTAGTCAGTTCGACTGGTCGTTCGACTGCAGTATTTTACCGTACACACTGATGTCACGCTTGGTTCCATTTCATACAACCAAATAAGACTTTAGAGACGGAAGATCGCTTAACGCTGTAATTTGAATATTTATTCTTGAAAAAACTTTCGTCACTTTTGTGAATTATCTTATCCCGTTATCCGTATGTTGAACGAAAGGAATTATTTGAAAAAAATTCTTTAAAAAAAACAAAGACCCAAATGCAAATTTATTTGCAAACTGGAAAAGGCGCGAAAATGACTTCTCAAAGTCCCCAAACCGGCACAGTTAAAAGAAATCACAAATAATACTTATATTGTTGTATCCTTCTGCCTCTTAAAGGTCCTAGAATTCTCGGAGTTCCATTTCAATCGGAAAATGATCACTGACTTCCAAGCACTGTAAAAAATATATTTATTCTGTCACAAATATTATATCCTGTATTTTAGACAATGGAAACTTTACTTGATAATTTGTGTACTTTTCAAATAAACTGTTAATTTAAAAACTATATCCTAAATAAAGTTCTTTGTTAACAACGACGCACGGTTACATACCTTGTCCATTCTAATACCATACGCTCGGCAGAAGTTGAATGGCTGAGGCGATCCGGCAACTAACTGCGAAAGTATGTCGCTTCCACGAACAATGAACCTTGAAGATGAAAGTAATATTTAGTAGAATACGTATAATAAATTTTGACGCATTTGTTCCGACTTTATCATGGGAAATATTGCTTTTATACAGCTACTGAAATGATAAGCGAATTTAATTTATTAAACCGACAAAGCCTGCACAACCTGATGCTTAAGGGAATTTCTAACAAACACATTTCATGGCACCCCGAGCCTACGCCTGACTGCTTACACTTTTGATTTTAGTTTACTGATATTATTTCGTCTTTCACCTGGCTCTATGACAGAACCTCCTCTGTGAGTGTCTTATGGTCATCTTAAGTGTCCGATAAATTTTCATAATTAAAATTGCTTACCTGTCGTATGCACATTGTTTTGAAGCTAAAGTGGTGTCCATGTCATCTGTTATAAGCCACTTGTAATTTGCATCTTTCACAAAGTTCAAACGATCTTTATTTGCCTTTGATAGGTATCCACAATCGGCATTCATATCTCCTGTTACAATCATGTTCTTGAATAAAAGAAAGGTGTGTTGTATTCAAGCAACCATTAGTCTTTTTCTAAATACTAAAATTCGTTACTTTTAATATACGAAATTTCTATTGCAAACAACCTTTGTTCTATATTTTAATGGTTTGGATGGTAGGTGAGTTAGTTGCCATTTGTTTTGGTAAGACATATTTGAAGGTTTCAGCTGTACTATTGGCGTAGCCGAAACTGTTTTCTGCTCAGTTCGCAACTGACAGGACAATAAGCAGTAAGAGACATTAGTCTAACCAACAGGTTTTGAGATCGTGTCTCAGGCATTCACACCTCGGGGTAGGGTGTGACTGGCAGACGACGGCAAAAAAGCCGGAAATAACCATTCCAGCCTCTCTTGTCTTTGTCGGTATTGCTATTCTGCCATCTCAAGAGTGGCTGTGGGAGTGCCGACGGGACCCGAGAAAGTCCCACGGCACAACGGGACGAGTGAATTCTGTAGCGCGATCGATGAACGACCTTCTTCCACCTGATGTCATTGACAAGTGTCAAAAGCTATATCCATTATCAGGTGTCAGGTTCTAACAAAACGAACAACTCACCGCTTGGCCTCCGGGTATCATACACCGCGAACTGATGTTATGTAAATATTGCATCTCATTGAAAACATTTCTGGGAGATATATGAGTGACAAGCACTGAAAACGTGTTGATAGCTAAAAAGAAAAAAACCACTATTGCATTAGTAGTTCTATGTTAGACCTTGTTTCAAAAAAAATGATTTCTGACTGCAGGATTGTTTCGTTTGAGATTCCATTGAGGTGCAAGTAAAAAAGATAGAGGTCAATTGGCACGGCAATTTAAAGAAAACTTGCCCAAATATATTTAGTTTCTTAACGGTAACGGATTTTGTGTAACTCACGATTCCTTTGTAAGCTTTCGTTCAGCTGACTGACCGCCGAAATATTAATGATAGCAAAGCCTAAGATTTTATAGAACATAATATTGTCTGCGTTTCTCCAGGTGTGGAATTTGTATGGTTATATATACATGAAAATAAGAAGAGATTCTTCGAAAACAGCGAGCTGTACTCGTGAATTTCCGAGCTGGTGACACTAACCCGTCGTCAGACGAAATGAAAACAAGGGAAAAAGTTTGTCACACTACCCTCGTTAAGTCGACAGGACAGACAGGCTGTTGGTATTCACGCCGCCCACAAACCAGCATCTCACTACGCACAACACGATCTCGAATCAAGGATCCTATCCCCAAAGAGCAAAAAACAAAGTAACTTATCGCATTCCGTGCGCGAATTGCTCCTGCGTGTATGTTGGTCACACGGGTCGAAGCCTGGGCATCCGGAGTAATGAACGCAAAGTAGCTTTCCGTTGGCGAGACCCTCTTTTCCTCGTCTTTGCTCACGCACTCGAGCGCGACCGCCGATTCAATTGGGATGGCACTGAGGTCATCGCCATCGCTAACACAAAACGAGCAAGAGAATTTCTCAAGGCTTGGTACTCCAATGCTGGTAATATTAACCGCCATGTTGACCTGAACCCCCATTTCGGGGGCCTACGTTCACGACTTGCTGACTCCTTCCCTAATGCCACATCAACGGCCGCAAATCCAGCCACCCGGAGTCCAATTCATCCACCATCCACCTTCCCCCTCCAGCACAGGGAGCCGTAATTGGTCCGCCTTAACTCCCCTCGCTCAGAAACCTACCATGACTCTGTGGCCCGTCCTCTCATAGGCCAATAGCCTGTCTATCTTGTCGCGTTAAGTATTCTAGTGTAACAAACTAACTTTATCCCTGGTTTTCATTTCGTCTGACGACGGCTTGGTGTCACCAGCTCAAGAATTCACGAACACAACTCGACTTTTCCGAATAACCAATCCCTTTCTAATTAGATCGACTCGGAACGCATATGACCTCTGATCTACATATATACGTACATCCAGCCAGGAATGGGCGCACACCATACCATTGGCTTCCCGACACAAACTGGCTTCGTGTGGGCGACAAAGGTCATGAACAGGCAACCAACTACCAGGCCGAAGCCGGCCAAGTCATATTAGCAGAGAGGACGGACGGCGCTTGCTTGCCTCGGAAAGCCAATAAATCGATGTACGCCCATTCCTGATTGAATAAATACACGATCAGCAGCGAAAGAAGATGGAAAGTGGAGAGGCACTGATGAACTTCGGTTCGATGAAATGCTTATGACCCATCTGGTAGACCCCGGTGATGGACCACCTGCGCGATGTGTGTCTGTGCGCATGTTTGTGTTTCTGGTCTAAGCTGCTAGTCAGAGTTTTTATAGGCCGAATTAAGGCAAAATAATCCCGAAACAGTTCTGTTTTAATCCACATGCATTCTCAGTCTTCCCTCCTGGCTGCTATATACATACACATTTATGGCAAAGGTGTTACACCGTACTCCCGACACAGGTTTCAGTTAGAAGCCCAGAAACGTGTTTCACCGATATTCTGCTAGGGCGTAACACAGCTTCCAGGGTTTCGGCTCCTCACTGTGTCCTCCAGCGTCCTCTGTGCGGTTTTCGGTAAACGAACTCCAGAGAATAATTAAGCGAATGCTTTCAGAAATTATGCGGTGCAGAACATGAGTCAGGTTTCCAGGACATGACTTTTTAGGGTCAGACCCGAAACTTCAATGAGCATTCGGGTCAATGACAATCAACTACTGTGGAATAACCACAAAGTGGCCATTCGACAAACAAGCAGTACTGCCAGTAGTGTGAAATCCATATGGAAATCGTATTACCCCATACTCCCGACAGACGGGATAGCCAAAACCCACATGTATAATGTGTAAAGTGAAATTACTGACAAAACCGAGCGGAGACTGGGATGGCTATTTCTAGCGTATTGGCCAACTTCAGCTAGCCAAACCCAACCCCTAAGGTGTACAACATCTAGTTCTAGATTCCACGACCCGTTGGCCAAAGGTCCAAGGCCCTAACCACTGAACAACGGGCTCGTTGTCCTATCGGTTGCGATCAGTTATTTAAAGTGATAGAGGAGCGCTCATCGATCGCATTATGGAACTCACTGTTGTTGTTGTGCGTTGGGACTCTCTCCCAAGCGTATCCAGTCCCGCAACGTGACGATTGAGTTCCGGAAGACAATCGGAGAGCACCTGTCTGCCATTATATAGTTATGTGTGTATCGGCGGGCAGAAGAAAAGTGAATTCGTGTGAATTGCAGTTTCAGACTTACTATGCGTTACCCCGACCAATCTCAGCCCAATGATGCTGGCGCTGATACCACAAAAACTGTGGCCTTTTTCATCTTTTTCCAGTTAGTCCGATGTAACTGCGTCCGTATACATCTACTGTGAAAATTCCCAAAGAAGATATAATCGCAGCTTACATGAACCTCGTTCTATTTGCCCTTGATGATATACGCAATCTTGATCATGGTGGTTGAACTGCATTTAACATGTTACAAACCTCTGATAGTATTCCAAAAAGTTATCTTAATACATAAAATGAAAGTGTTTGAATATGCAATATTTACTATGCACTGCTCAACTGTGTGATGACAGGTTGGACTGAGGATTACATTTAATGAATGGTGATTGCAACAGCTTGCTTGCTCATCACAGTCAATTGTAAGATCATTGCGTGTTTGATTCCTTTAGGTAACTCATCCCTTCACCGCTTATAAAGAGGGTTCAAAAAATTTAAAGCGACGTCAATGTCAGACTCGTATAAGATATTGGCATCAAGGGCTTAAAAATATGGATATATAAACGTACCCCCCTTTCCATTGAACACAAAACAGTAGGGCGTGCGTTCGAACGCGTGAGTGGATGTTAGCGCAAATTCTGTTGTAAGGCCTCCAACGTTTACGCTGAAAACAAATTGATTAAAGTTAGCATTGATGTAAGCAGTATTCTCTAAACATAACTCCTTCAAACGAATTATGAATTAACGCGCGTCGCGCATTGACTTTTGATTACTCGACAAGATATCACATTCTGCTATCAATGTCACTAAACAGAAGCTGGGAATATTGTGCAACCAGAATCTTAATCCATCACAAAACAAGCCTAGTTGTCATAAATTTATAAATTAAACGTCTTGCATGATTGAAATGTAAAAAGCGTCATCCCAGCTCTAACATGAATAATCTGAGACAGCAGCATTTTTGGGATTCTTGATGTGCTGCTAGATTGTATAGGGAAGTAGGCCACTCCTGCCATAAGAATGAGAAACACTTGAGCACATACGTTACATATGAAATGAATGTGCGCGCAATAACATGTGTCACTAAAATTTTTTATGTTACTGGACGTTGTAATTTTACATCCGCATGCACTCTAATCAATCAGCCAGGATTTAAAAGAAGTGATAGTACGAATATTACTACTATTTTGCTGTGTCCAATTATGCCGCCGCTGTTGGCCGTCAAAAAATTCTGTCATCCGGCAATTCTGTACCTATTAATATATACGTGCATATGCAATAGATATTCCGGTTACTATTTACCTGTATATAAGACCATACTGTTCTTTGGAAACTGACCGCCCGTAACGATCTGTAGTGATTCCTAAATAGTGGTGCGTCTTTGGACCACATCGGGGTGATACGCAGTTGTTGACATAATCCAGGAGAACATCGAAAGCAACGTCACTCTTATCGCGGATTTCCTGTATCACAGTGATATCATATCTCCGTATAATCTAAAAGTACGTTAGATATGAAATGAGGTTTCAAAGTAAATCTGCTAGAAATAAATCTAGGCATGTTTTCCTTTTTTTACTCACCCTTGCTAGGATTTCCATAACGTCCAATTTTTTCGACTTACATTTTCCATATATTTGGATATTGAAAGACGCAATTTTAAGTGCCAACTGTATTTGGACCAAACTGGAAATTATACAAAATGCAATGAGCACAAATTTTGCCATTATTATTACATCATTCTTGCAAGTTTTGTCTAACCTTTAAATAGGCTTCATTGACCACTGGCAATGTGCGCTCCTCAAATTCCCCAGACTCCCATAACGAATCATATCCAGTTAAAGCATTCTGTGAGGCGTATTCCAATGTGTGTTATTTCAAAACCTATTCCTCAATTCCACGAGGAGCCTCGCCCACATATCTCCTTGTGCGGCTTCTCTGGGTGCACTCTGACTCCTACGTAAGCATTGTAAACAATAATTTAAAAGCAGTCAATGGTTATCAATCACAAACAATAATGTAACTCAAGTGCAGTCACGTCACGTGCATCACTTCTTCACAACCAGATGCTGATGCATGCGTGCTCGCAGACATAACGTGACTAAGAAACTGCGACCATTGAATTCTCGGATTACGTAGACGTGGCAAAAGGTGATGCTTCGTTGATTGTTATCTCGAAAATTTACCATTTCAGCAAGTCGACTGTATATCAAGTGTTAACAGAACTACTGATTTCAGCGTGGTCATTTTTGAATGATTCACCACTTTTTCAAAGGTTCCGCCAAGAACATTGATTTCTTTAGGGACAAGCCACACCTATTGACAAAGTTTTTTAAAGTTAGTTTAGTGCGAGGACATACTACATACAGTCATTGACCGATCTCATAAAACTTTAGTCAGTGTTCTGGATTGTTTTGGATTAGTAAGGAGTACTTCGATGAGATTTTTATACTTATTATCATACGACTTAATTCTGTAATACTTCAGACTCGCAAAAATTTTCGACTCTGAATGCGCCTTTTTAGAACCTTCAGGAAAAGCTCCACACACCAAAATAACTTCCTAACTAGAATGCTTTTTCTCAATTGATTTTCGGCAACCTTATAAATTTAAATATTCACAAGAATATGCTTTCTTTTATTCAACTGGCAGTAGATCACGTCCTCCCTACATTTCATAACAGAAGAAAGGGTATTTTAGGTTTATAAATGTGTCTTAATTCCTGAATATTTTTTAGCCAGACTGGCCGTCGACATAAAGTTAAGCGATTTTAGCCCCACAAGGTGTTTGCTTTCCGCATAAGCATGTAAAGAAGAATTTACAAAATTTTGAATTGGGTGCGAATTATTTTGTAAACCCTTTCGGAACATTAATAAACGGACAGGCAGGATACTGTATGAATGGACACTGCATGACCTCAAAAAATCTTATAATTTACTGTGGTAGATCTCTTCTGTTACTTGTCGTAGAAAATATACTGCCGCAAATCATCGTCATTTTAATTTTGCAGAGTGAGAGAAAATTTCGTCAAGCAGGTTAAATGCCTAAAAGAGACTAGGTAATAAACGAAAAATTGTGGTTTTTACTTTATCTGTGAGGGCCAGAATCATGGCTGGGCATATGACACGCGCCTATGTGTCCTCAGACTGTTCTTAAAATATGGCAAATTCGTAAACTCGCTAGGTTGTTTAAGAAAATGTCCCTGCATGCGGTGACAGAAAGCCTTTAGACAAAACTCTAGATCAACTACTATAAGAAGACGTGACCAGGACCTCACAGTGTTATTGAAAATTTTCAGACTGATTTCAGTAATTAGATCCTAAAATGCGAGCTAATGTAACACAGGCATAATTCCATATTACGTAAAACTATAACTCAGAAATCCGCTATCAAGTGTTCATACCCGTTTCAATTCATAGTCGTGCATAGCAAGCAATAATAAAAATAACTGCAGCAAGTGTCATTTTACATGCCTTGTCAAAAATGTAGAACACCGAACATGTTAGCAGGGAAAAAACCTGAACTTTAAGTACAATTGGAAGTGTCTTAATCAGTATACTTAAATTAGGAGAAAAATTTACAGACCGCAAAATGAATCAAATCCAGAAAGGGACCATTTTGCACTTTACCGGGTGTTTTCAGCCTCCATACACCTTCAGGAATTAAGACTGTACCAAAGAGGGTGTGTGGATGGAGCTTTTATTCTTTGATTGAAAACGTACCCATTTGGTTGTAGGCTGCAAAGGCAGAGCCATTTCCAGCAAGATGGGACCGAGCAAAGGGATCAGAGACAGTGAACTCGACCATTACGTGACCCGGAAACTTCGGCAGTCTTTCAGAATGCAGAAAACGTGTAACAGTCACTTTAAGCAAAGAATACTTTGCCAATTTTTCGTAATCCCAGATTGTGATTTTACTCATGTAAAAGAACTGACGATATATATTCGTACGTGCCATTGGAAGAAATAAAAAAACCATGTGGTGACTGTGATGTCAACGGAGTCAAGATGTCTCAAAGTGGTAAGCTGACTACAAGAACAGCATTGTAAAAGATTAAGCGGTCACTGACTCACTCTCGGCATCGGCGAAAACACTAGGGGTTAAGGCTTGTATGCCTACAACGTTCTTGCTACGCCAAAGTTCGGGACTCCGGCCTTGTAAATTTTGGCATACAAAAATTGGATGGATTATATTTTATTCCGCTCAACAATACACAGGAGGCTAAGTAGAAACGAATAAAATTCAAGAGTAGGTTTGATGGACATCTTATAAAGGTTGGTTTTAATATCGCTAGTTTTCGAATTTCACGGCATATACCCACCTATTCTGCGTTCTTGAAAGACATTTAGGACTCAGTGTTCTGAAAGATATAGATTCTTGGAATATGACACACGTAGGTCCTGAATAACTTTTTGTGCATTTATTTCGTGGTCGTCAATGCTTTGTTGAGGCTACTGATCATCGCCAGCAACAATAACTGAACATTTGTGCCAAGGGAGGGAAAGGCATCATGTACAGCACCACTGAGCGAAGACCGAATGATCGTACGATGTTGCGGTTTGCCAGTTTATATCTCCAGGTAACTTCCAAATCACCAAAAAACATAAAGGGCAGTCCATTATTAAATTAGTGTGGTACATCATAAACAAAAAGGCAAATTAGCTGCACCTCAATGATACTATCATGAATAAATCCACTCATCACTCGTGCGAGGTTGGAGATCACATTGGAAATCTTTTGCGTCAGCCCAGATAAGTTGGTTAATTCATAACTTCGCCAATTTTTTCAAAAGAAGGACGTTTCGGGAGAGGAAGAGTGTGGTCGACACGGTGAGAAGTCTAGGAGAAACCGAAATGGACTATGGAAATGGCAAAACCATTTTCCCTAAGTTGTAGGACACGATCAAAATGAGAGCTGACAGAGAGCGTCAGAATACCGAGCTTTTAGTATTTCGTGTTGAGTCGTACTCGGTAGGCTATTTACTGCCAAGGGACGCTGACTTCACACAGTTGCATAGTTCCAATTATAGTTACGCCCTCTTCTTTCCGAGAAGTCGATTCCGTCTTGTTGAGGGAGGACATGACAATGGGATTGTGCTGTAAGTGCATTGTCTAAGTCCTCCCAGACTCGCACCAATGCATAGAAAGCTAAAAAAGTTAAAATCACCTTAAACCACACCATTATCCCTAAGAAATCCGTACGAAATACTCAGTTGTGTGTTGGGAGCATTTAACAAACCCCACATCCATATTGCCCTGCAATTGAGATGGTAGTCAAAATCGCCATTTGTGCACACTATCAGCTGAAATTGAAAACACCTCCTGTTTTCATAATTTTGTTTGGTAAGGTGTGGCAATGTAGCTCCACCTGATGGACAAAATACTGCTGACCTACTTCATAAGTTTGAGTTTGTGTGATAACGTTGGTATGGTGTTGCTGTGCGTTGGGGTGTGTGTTCTGTTGGCGGCCTTGTTTCTCTGTTGTCGTGTCTGCATTTATCGGCCCAATGCCGGTGGTCCTTCTTAACTTCCGGTCTGTCTCCTCCATATAACTTTCGTGTTAGATGTTTCAGGGTTAGGGTTTAGGGCTGCAGTAAAGGGCTGGGGTTTGGGTTAAAGGGTTGGGGTTAGCGGTTAAGGGTTGTAAAACAGGGTTGAGGGTTAGGGCGAAAGGTTATGGTTTGGGATTAGAGATTGGAGCTATGATTTAGGGTTAGAGGGAAGGGGTTGATGTTAGGGGTTAGAGTTGGGGATTGGGGTCAGGGTTAGGGACTACGTCTACTTTTTCCCAACCACTCAATGTAAAACCGCACATTCCCAATGGCTTTTCTTTTGCATACAATTACTTGACCTCGTCGCCTGTGCTATACCTGTGCGGCCCACCTGTGAAAACCCCTATCGCCATCCGTTCCGTATTATAGGTGGGTGGGGTTTGTTTACCTCAGGTGCGGCTACATAACCGCACCTCACTGTCTATTTTGAGGGTTGTTTTCCTCAAGATTGCAGCGGGTTCTTAAATTATACTTTCTTTCAGACAAAATAAAAATTGAGACTTATCGTGGGATAAATATTTTGTCTGCCTTCTTTTGAAAAATAACAAGTGATAATTAAAGCCTTAACACAACAACTCATAATTTCAAGTACGAATGCTCGCTATGTTAAGAAGGACATCTTACGATGTATGAAAAATACTTTGTGGGTGTTCAGTTCAAATGACATGCAGAAAGTCCTCGAATAAACGCTTAGCAAGAAGTAAGACCTTCTATGAGGTAGTCTGGGGACTGGAATATTTAGTCGCATGTGAGTATCGTGTCGCTGAAATCAATCGATAAAACCTCGCCATTGCTGATGGTTATTCACCATGTGGCTGTCTGTGTTAGTCGCTAACTTGCCGCTCCAAGGCAGAAATGAGAGGATCGCTTCCGACACACAATTAGGATATATAGTGGTGCAGGCCACTCAAACGTAAAAAGCCAGGTTGATCAAACAAGACTAGCGGTCCTGGATAGATTATAACAAAAACTCTCTGAGCGTTTCACGCTTAGTTTCAATAATCCACGAATTATAAACGGAAAGGAAACCAATATCTCTTTATTTGTCGG